ATGTTTCACTCTGCATGAGCATTTTCAAAACATGTGAAAAAAATCTATGGATAAATTTGTTATCATGGAAACATTACTACTTAAAAAAAACAACAAAAAAAAACAGTCAATTTAAAAAATTTTAACAGTTAATAAAATTTAAAAATATAAATGAACACAATGATATTTATAGATAGATTTGATATTAAAACAAAATGTAGATATTGTGATTTGATAAAGGAAAAGAAAATGAATAAAAGCTATCGTGTGACAAAGCAAAGAAAATAATGAACACTTATAATTAAAAATACAATTTATAATAAAGTATAGAATTAATTCATTGATTTGTCTTATGTCTTATCAACCCTTTGCAGGTTATTTAAAGCCAGAAAATATTTTGCAGGGGTGGGGGAAGTAATAATGGTTACATGATACAAGTCTTATTAATTAACCCATACCAAGGGTGAGAAGAGGTGAATGCATACCTACTCAGAATTTTATAAAAAATTATAGTGTGAATATAAAGTGGAGGATCAGTTCTATATTACAATCAATATATAGATTGATGCTCCACTTTGTGGCCACTGTAGTTTCTATACATTTGTATTCCAGAGAATGTAAATAAATCTAAAAGACATGCCTGTGTAGATAATCCGTATTTCAATGATTGATTTGTTTTCTACGGCTTATCAACAATCAAGAAATTATAATGTGGGCATAAAGTGAGGGATCAATTCTATATTACAATCAATATATAAACTGATCCCTCAGTTTGTGGTCACTTAGTTCCTATACATTTATATACCAGAGAATGAAAATCAATCTAAAAGACATGCCTGTGTAGATAATCCGTATTTCATTGATCGATTGATTCATTTTCTACGGCTTATCAACCCTTTGCAGAAGGTTATTGAAAGCCAGAAAACCTTTTTATATTATAAGAATTATTTTTTTGAAGATAATGATTTAGTGATACAAGTCTTACTAATTAACCCATAGATGCGGGAGAAGAGGTGGATTCATACTTTTTCCAAAGGTATTCGCACGTAAGTGAATGTAATGAACTTAATTAGAATTGGAACCCTGCTCTCCAATTAACAATTCTGAGCAGTTATCTATTACACCACCTGTACAACCAAGTTTACAGCCCCTAGTATTCCCAAGTGGTCACCCATCTCAGTACTAACCAAGTTCAAGATTGCTTAACTTTATCGAATTAAAAATTTTTAACCTGTATTTATTTTCAGTATTTACATTAGTTGGACTATTGTCCTCATCTTTGTCGCCATATTTGTCTAGCCCCGGCCGTTTATGCGCTCCGACCTTCTTCAGGTGGTTGGAATTTGAACTGAACCCTTTATTTCGATCACTGGGGTAGACTGTTCTAATTCCACGTGCCATGTTTGATGGATGTCAGTTATCAGTTATCTCCTGCTAATTTTCCCTCTGAAAGTTCTCCACTGCCTTAACCAGGAATTGAACTCACCTTCTTTGGGTCTGTCACTGGATCTAACCAGGGAAAATTAGCAGGAGATAACTGATAACTGACATCCATCAAACATGGCACGTGGAATTAGAACAGTCTACCCCAGTGATGAAATAAAGGGTTCAGTTCGGTTGAAATTCCAACCACCTGAAAGAAGGCCGGAGCGCATAACGTCAAAACGTTGTGACAAAATGGCGAAAAAGATGAGGACAATAGTCAAACTAATGTAAATACTGTACATAATACCTCATCTCAAAGAAATATAGACAAACGCTGTATTTATTTTAATATTATTTTCTTTAAGTACTATATTAATTAGTTTGTCATGATAAATTAAGATGGGTGACAGTAAATCTCGTTATTTACACTACTTAGATGTGACTACTGTCCTCATATTTGTTGTTATCAGAACATCTTGGTAATTGGGTCCTCCAGCCTTCATCAGGTAGGTTTTCTACAGAACTGTTGTAGAGTAGTTTTTCACAGTGGAGGCTCGTACTTCACTAAGTCGGTCCTAAAAAGGTTCGACATACAAAACATTAGGAACTTGAAATAAATAGTTAATGACGCAGCAAATCTAGTTGTGGGGCTCATACTTTAATGTCCGACATCGACTGACTTACTCAACTCCACTCAGCTCCCTGGCAACTGCTACTACTACTTATTATCTGTGGGGGAGTCTATTTACTATAGAATAGGTAGTATAACAACAACCAAATACTTTTTCAAACCTGTATCTAGTTCTGTCATTGATGCCACAAGTTAAAAGAGGCCTTGTCAACTGAAACAAATGGCATTGTTTCCTAATGAGATGACAAACTGACCTTTAATCAATTTCTTGTAGATTTTCCCCCATTCATTTCGACTTTCTGTGGTGAGAATTCCAATTTGTGGTGCAGGTTCTTCTGATTTTGAATAGATAACTTTCAGTTGTTGGTAAATCTGCTCTACACTCAAAGGCCTCCATTTCTTCCCATAAACATTCAGGGAAAAAAACTGAAAAAGTCAAAAATCAAGACATTAAAAAAAAAATAATTGAATTAAATATGAAATTTGTGTTCTTTTAAACATATAAATCAAGACACATTAAAATAATAATTTAATTAAATATGAAATTTATGTTCTTTTAAACATATAAATCAAGACATATTAAAATAATAATTTAATTAAATATGAGATTTGTGTTCTTTTGAACATATAAATCAAGTCACATTAAAATAATAATTTAATTAAATATGAGATTTGTGTTCTTTTGAACATATAAATCAAGTCACATTAAAATAATAATTTAATTAAATATGAAATTTGTGTTCTTTTAAACATATAAATCAAGACACATTAAAATAATAATTTAATTAAACATGAAATTTGTGAAATTTTGATACATAAATAGATTAACATAAACTTTTAAGCTCCAGAACTTTAGAAATCAATATAAAAATAAATAAAGTACACTTTTTTTTAAAGGGGTTTACAAGTTCTTTCGTTTTTCCTGAATGGTACCAAGAATTTTAAGTTGTTAAAAGAACAAAATATACCAAGAAACATCATGTAAGGTAATCTGGCCATGGCACACTACTCTCCAGTAGGCCATCCTACACTATGTTTCAAGGTCATCTGCAAGAGGGACCTGAAGATCATAGGCATCAAATTTGGTAGCTGGGAACAGCTAGCAGACTATTGCAGTGGGTGGCACCATGCTGCTCAAGGAGGAGTCATGAGGGGGGTGGGGGGAGCATAGTGAAACCAACTGTTGGAGATCAGAAGATGATGCTGGAAGCAGAGAGAGCAATCTCAGACATTTATTCAATATTCCAACTCCATCTGCCATGCCTGCAGAAGAGAAAGGCATGCAAAGCTTGAACTGTTAAGTCAGTCCAGATGCTACTCCCAAAAGGACTCAATTTTGACCAAAAGGGCACTACTATTTAGTTTAGTTTGGTTTGATTAGATTTTACAGCATATCAACCTCAATAGGATATTTAATGTTGACAAAATTTTTATTGCTGGTAAAATTTTTCCTTCAAAAATCTATTGCTGGTAATATTTTTCAAAAAAGTATAGCTGGTAATATTTTTTAAAAAATGTATTACTGATAATGTTTTTTTAAATGTATTTCTGGTAATACTTTCTTCCTTCAACAATGTATTGCTGGTAATATTTTTCCAAAAATATATTGCCGGAGATTTTTTTTTTTTTTTTTTTTTAAATGTATTGCTGGTAATAATTTTTCCTTTAAAAATTTATTGCTAGTAATAATTTTTTTTTAAAGTATTTATGGTATTAAAACCCACTTTTACACTTTCATAGTGTTTTGACCCCAGATGTTAAGAGTTTTTGGCTTGTCCAATTTATGCTTAATGGGTGACAAGTCCATAATTTCTATGCTCACCATCTATTAGTGCTTGTGTTTCTTGTCATGTTTTGTTTTTTGAAGGTCTTTTGTTTCTGTTTGGTCTTGTTTCCTTAGATTTTCCATTAGGTTCTTTTGACGATCTTTGTTTGGATGATGACCGTTCCCTTCTTTGAGATGGGATAGAATTTTCTTCATCTATGTCCATTTTGCTTGGTTCTTCAACGATGTACTGGATTGTATTATTTTTTTATGCACCATTTGATTCTCTTGGAAATCTTTAGAGGGTTCTATTTCTTGAACGATTTTTATACTTTGGATTGTGATTTTCAGAGTTAATTGTTTTGTACATATAGATTCTTTTTTGTTTTAGGTTGACAGGATAGAATTTGTTTTGTCTATGGGAATTTGATTTAAGTGTGATATACTATATTTTAGTAGTTCTAATAGACTTTTTAATTCATTTTTCAGAGTTGTAAGATCTTGGCTTCTTATTGCATTGTTCCCTTGGATGTCATTTTGGTGATTTGATATTTTAGTGATATTTGCATATGATATTTGGAAATGAATAAGTTTTGACCTGTTTTCTGGTGTATTTTATTCTTATTATTTCCATTTCCTTTTCCCAGATGTTACACTCTTTAAAGTTTATTCCTCATTCAGTAGCCTTTTCCTAGGTTACAACAGTAACCTTCAGGGAATACCAAACTGAATCCTTTATTTAATAAATGGGCGTCAACTGTTCTTGTTTCACTGTCACTGACCAATACCTGAGCAGAGCTAAATAAGAACAAAATGAGATAGCCCTAGACATGGACAGTGGAAAAAGAATAAGCAAAGCTTATAGATTAAATAAAGGTTGAAATTCCTTGAAGATACACTGACTGACAAGCACCTGATGAAGGCCAAAGGGTGCAATGACCAAAAGTGTTGTGATAATAACAACAAAAATGAGGACAATAGTCAGAATATAAATAGTGTAAATAAGGATAACCCCTCATCCCAGAAATTCAGGTAGAAAAAGGTTTGTTTTTTTTTTTTTGCATACTCTGGTGGGCTTATTTACACTGTTTACATTGTTCGGAATATTGTCCTCATCTTTATTGTCATATTCACAACATTTTGGCTGTTGTACACTCCTTCTTCAGGATCTATCTATATCTCTGCTGTATAGGAATAAAGTGCCACTGCCGACACTCGAGTTTGAACATAGATCACTAGTGAGTAAACACAAGTGATCCCACTATTGAATTAAGTGGATCATGTGACCATGAGAGAAACGCATAAGTAGAAGTCGCGTGATGTCTAATGGATCGCCATTTCTAGCCTATCCTCTATTACTATACGGGTCACCATTTCTAACCTATCCTCTATTACTATACAGATCGCTATTCTCTACTCTATTCCCTATACTATTTCTCTATTCAGATCACTATTTGATATACGGATTACTATTTGAGTGAGTATTATCGAGCAAGTACTATCAGTGCAAGTGACATTCAAAGGCATCTGACACCAGTATTGCTCAACAGCGTTACTATAGTTGTAGTGATTTTCTAAGAATGGCTTAGATGTGGCACAAGGCCAAAAGTATGGGGCACCCAGCGAGGATCGAACTCACTACTCAGTCGTAATTGATCTAGCAAGACAAGCTTTCTAACCATTACACCACGTTGAGGTGCCCTAGCATTACTATAGTTGTATCTATGATTGCAAAGTCTCTACTACAACGAGCATTACAAAAGTGACAACGAGTGTTCGTTGACATCACAAAAATTTCCAAGATAAGGTATTGTAACTATTTACTCTATTTTCATTGTTCAGACTGTTGTTTTCATCTTTATTGCCATATTCACGACGTTTCGGCTGTTGTACGCTCCAGCCTTCTTCAGGATCTGTCTATATTTCTGAGATGAGGTATTGTAGCTATTTACACTATGTACATTGCTCAGATGGTTGTCTCCATCTTTATTGTCATATTCAAGGACACATGACCCAGTGGATATAAGCATTGGTTGAAATAATCCAGTGACTTGATCCAAAAAGTTACGAGTTCAATACCTGGCAACAGCAGAGGTGAACAAAAACTTGGAGAGTTGAATTATTAAAGGGAATTAACTGAAACCGAAATATCCAGAAAAGGCATGGCATGTGGAACTAGAACAATCTACCCCAGTGGACGAAATAAAGGGTTCAGTTTGAAATTCCAACATATATCACCTGAAAGAGGCTGGAGCATAAAACAAAAATATCTAGAAAGTGTCTTGATTGCAAGATCATCTACTGTAAATTTGCACCTGGGCTCTCACAACATTTCACCATTCCTGGCAGAACTTCTATTATCAGAATGTGGAATGTCAACTAACAAAAATGATGGAAAGAAAAAGAATCTAAATGAAATCAAATAGATTTTTTAAAAATTTTAAATTCCCAGCATCCCTCATTCATATGCACCAACATAACAAATTTAGTCTGATGAAATTCTAAAGGCAAAACATATCACAAGTAAACTTTTTCCACTTTGTCATACATTTTCCCCAATATTGTTCTTAAGATATAAAAATATATATCTTTATATCATATACTTTTAAAGAACTAATAAATGTTTCCAAAGGACTAATAAATCAGGTTGCCTGTTCTTCAAGACTTACAAGTGAATCATTGCAAGAAAATATAAGAAAGAAAGAACTTACATGATTATTAGAAATAACTGTAATATGAGAAGGATAATCTTCAGAAAAATTATGCCAGGAATCACTTTTGATCCCTGGAATGCGACAGGAAGACAAAATGTTGTAATGCTGAGCCATGCAAAGAGGCTGCATTCCACTTTTTTCCGGATGAAGCTTCTTTCTGTAAATAAAAAAGAAAAAAAAAAAAAAAGAAATAATATAAATATGTTGCTAATCATTTAATGGTGTCAAAAACATTTTAAAAACATATACAGGGTGTCTCAAAATAATGTATACACTCTTTAAATATTAATAGTTAATAATACATTAGCGTGATGTGAGAACTTATATGGATGAAAATATGCAAAACAGATGGATTGGAAGAAGAGGGTCAGTTGAATACCCATCTAGATCACCAGATTTGACACCCTTGGATTTCTTTTTGTGGGGGTTTCTAAAAGAGAACATTTGCAGCAAGAAACCTGAAACAATTGCTGAAATGAGAGTAGCAATTGAAGAAGAATGTGCTCAAATATCAGAGGAAATGATACTGGATGTTTGTAGGTCTATTTCTTCAAGATATGAAAAGTGTATTGAACAGAACAGGAAACAGTTTGAGCACTTGATGCAAATTCATCATTATATGAACATTCTGCCATTGACACAAATAGCTTTTATCTTATTAAAGTTAATTTTCTATGTTTTTTTTTTTTTTTCTCAAATTCTTTAAATGTATATTCTTTCTCTTGTATTAATCTTATAGTCAAAATACATAAATTGAATAAGTTATAATGATTCTAAGAGTGTATACATTATTTTGAGACACCCTGTATTTAGAAATTACATATTCAACCTATATAGCAAGACAATTCTCAGGGAAATCCTACCAGGATTCATTATGGGTGACCACTATCTTAACAACATAAGGTATACAGATGACACAGGGTTGATAGCAGATGCTGAAAGAAACCTACAAAAACTCCTACAAAAGGTAGCGAAGGAAAGGACTAAACATCAACTACAAGAAGACAGAATGCATGGTTGTTAGCAGAAAAATGAAACCAAAGAGCAAATTCCAAATCGAAGATACTAAAATCAAACAAGTTCGGAAATTTAAATATCCGGGAAGTGTTTTAACAGAGGATGAAAAATGTGACACTGAAATCCAAAGGTGTATTGGGATAGCAAAGGAAGCATTTAAAAAGCTAAGCAGAGTACTAAGAAATAGAAAAACTAGAAATGAGGAAAACAGTACTAAACTGTTATGCGATATCTGTCATTCTATATGGCAGTGAGTGCTGGACAATCTCCTTAAAGATGAAGAAAAAAACTTGAAGTAACAGAAATTTGGTTCTACAGAAGGATGCTGAGGATACCATGGACTGAACATGTGAGCAACGACAAAGTTTCAGAGAAAATGGAAACAAAAAGGAAACATACTTAATATCAGGAAGAGACAGTTGAAGTTTCTAGAGCCCATCATGAAGGAGGGCTTGGAAAATTTGATACTCACAGGATAGGTAGAGGGTAAGAGGAAAACAATGCATAACATACTTAGTTAACTTCAGTAAATGGATGGTGGAACAAGGTTTAGGAGAAATAACAGAAAGACAAAGATTATTAAGAGCTACAAGAGACAGGAAATTGTGGAGAGCCATGTTTGTTTATCTCCTGAGTGGACACAGCACAAAGATGATGAAATACAAAGAAGCATCTGAAATGTTATTGGTTCTGATGTGGCATCCTGGCTTCAGTCGCTATCCTGCCATAGTAATGTAGCTTCCCTGTACCGTTTTTATAAATACTTTCATGGTAATTGTTTGGATGTACCTTTCCTATATGGTACCTAGAATTTATAAATTTAAGCGCAGAAGTAGACTGGCAACAAGGTTTCAGCATTTTAAAAATGGAATGGTCAGATGTAACCGTAAGTCCTATGCTAACAATTTCTTCTATCACACTTCTTGATTGTGGAACTCTATCCTGGCTTTTTGCTTCCCAGTCAACTTTGATCTTCAAAAATTTAAATGCAATGTCAATTGTCATCTACTGTCTTCTTCATTCTTGTGTCTTAGTGGATTTATTGCCTTGCTTGAGGTGAAACTATATATAACACATGGATTGATTTGTTTTCACTTCCCAACCTATGCTGAAATTAATTCATAAAGATGTTCTGTCCCCATCCCCATTATATAAGTTCAGTTATCAATAATTCCAAATGTCAGTGTGATGCTGAATACATTGGCAGAACTGATCAGAGGTTGGAGACAAGGATTGATCAGCATATTCCAGCAAAGATCTGTAGAAGGCAGAGTAAAAATTTGGATACATTTGTGAATACTTTCAGTTCTACAATTGCAGAACACTTAATAATCTGTCTTGTGCCTCATTCGTCTCCAGGGATTTTTTTCACCGTAATCAGTAAAACACATTCAGACTGACATCTAATAATTCTTGAGACCATTTATATTAAGTCCAAGCAGCCTTCCCTCTGTAAGCAGAAAGAATGGCTACCGAGTCTAAATGTAATGATTTATATGGCAGATTCTCTGTTACTATTTTTTTTTCTTTTTTAAACTGATTAGCTCCTTTTTTGTTATTTCTTACATTTTCTCTTGTCATAGTTTCTGTATGTCCAGAAACCATTGGGGAAGGCATCACTGTCTCTTTTGCCCACTCCACCAAGCTATGGGTTAAATAGCATGCAAGCCTGAACTTGCTAACCTTGGTTGGCAACCAGTCTAATGAAAGCATGTACTATATATATATATGCTCATATGTAAGCCAACTTCATGTATCATGGACCCCTCAATTATTTTTGCATGAATTTTAATCTCTCCAGAAAAACATTTACCTGTGCATCGTGCAACTGAAAATGCATAATTTTTAACCTCTTCAAAAAAAATTACCTGTGTATAGTGTGACCCTCTATTTTTTGTGTAAAAAAAATAAAAGTTCTCCACAAGTTCTTATTCTTTGTAGTTGGGTTACCATGTTTGATCTTGGAATTGGTGGTGGAGTGGTTTCCTATTACCTTCTCCATGGTGATTTTATCGAGACACCAACTCTGTTTAACTAGGTGGTGCTTGAATTGTTCTAATTATCTCCCTTGATGACTATCTATAAAAGGAAGTAACAACAAAATGTAAACAGAGGGACAGAGGAAAACAATGCATAGCATACTTAGTGAGCTTGAGTAAATGGATGACAGAACAAGGATTAGAAAAGAAAAAAAAGCTATCGTTACAACCACTACTTCCAGAGATATGAAAAAAAGCCACTTGATAAAATACAAACCTCTGACATAATAGTGCTCACCTTTGAGGCGATTAAAGATAGCCACAGATCAATAAACAATGGATAAACTGCAAAAGGAGACATTCTTAAACTGGAAATGCCAGAATTGTAGGTGTCTATGTAAATCTTCCTGAATCAAGGTGTGACTGACACAAGGAAGAAGACTCAAGGAAGTGGAGAGTGTTGGTTGATGCTACACTGGCAAGGGAGGTTATTGATTCTGGACCGAGGCCAGATTTAGAGTTGATTGATAGCGAGAGGAAACAGGTTGCTTGGTGAGCTGATGGTGGCATGGGAGGAAAAGATTGAAGAGACTCATGAAAGAAAGCTGCTTTGGTATGCGGAACTGGTGGCTGATGTCTGCGAGAGGAGATACGGCTGTATCCTGGTGTGATTTGAGATTGGCTGTAGAGGATTTCTTGCTGCTTCCTTAAAGAGATTCCTCAAGTGTGCTGGTATCCAAAAGCCAAATAAGGTAATAAAGACCTGTACCGAGAAAGCGTCATTTGTTTACATTAAGATAACCATTGAGCAGCTATGAGTGTTCAAGAGAAATCATAGGAAATTTGTTGTTTAAAAACAGTAATTTGAATTTGCTAACCAGACACCTCCACTGTAGCTAAATGGTATAGGACGTCAGGCTATATGACATTTTTATGTAGGATACAGGTTCAATTCATGTCAGGGGACACATATTTGCTATGAAAATTCTCAAAAATTCAGGCTGGTAAACGTAGTTAATACGGTTTATTATTAAAAAAAAAAAAACTGAGCATTTACTTAAATATTTGTATCTATAAAAATAATGTAGAAACAGAAAATATATTACAATCTAGGACAAAATTGCTGTGTTCATCTGTAAATTAAACTTTTACATGTGAAGTAAAAAATGCTAAAGTTATGTACCATATACTGAGATGAACACAATAATCGATTAAAACTTTATAAAATGATAAATAATAAGGATTTCCTTATAGTTGGTTCATATATAATTTAATATCTTTCTCTCTCTCATAAGTACACTCCCTCGGACATTTTGACTAATACATATGGGTCTTCCATCACAGAACACCTTATAAATAGCCATAATTGTGCTGTTAGTTTTAGTGGTGACGCTTTTAACATCCTTAGAAGGTCCCACTCTAATTACCACCTAAAAGTGTTGGAGGCCATCTATATTCTATCTTTAAAGTCTTCTCTATGTAAACAGAAGGACTTTGAATTAGGCCTCCAACTAATTACCATTTAAATATTTTTTTATCTACCCCCAATACACTTTGTCCATTGTTCTTTTTTTATATAATTTACTTTATTTACCTTATCTCTGTTGAGCGAGGTACAAAACCAGTTAGCTAGCCCGTTTTTCATTTTTACTTTTTATTATCATGAGTGGTAATAATAAAACTAATTTTTGTCTGTTTATTATATATTATATATATATATATATATATATATATATATATGCAATTTATTATATATATTATTTATATATTATATATCGCAGTACTTATTGGAAAGCACTCAATATCAGAGATAGAGCTGACATATTTAGTTGGATTGATGTGAGTTTGTGACCCTGGGTTTCACGCTTTTGCAGGCAAACTGATTAATTTTTTTAAATTTTGGATTTATATAGGGTTGTGTATATTGGTGTTTTTATGGAAGTGGGAGGAAAAATTGTCGTCACGACGCCACTCATACTTACACAAACATACATACATGCCCGTACACTGATTGACGTATACAGACACACATACATGCTCACCCACCGGAGCTCATACAAAAAATAAAAATATTAATCAGTTTGTCTGATGATAACAAAAGCATGAAACCCAGGCTCACAAACTCACATCAATCCAACTATATATATATATATATATATATATATATATATATATATATCTTACGAACCAAAACCAAGTTCCATGGCTATAAAATTAAATGATTGAATAAGCTCTTTGTGACTTCCATGAATATAATATATACATGAATATTCATCTATTGCATTGGTGTTTACATCAGAACATTCCCAAATCAACATATGGACAACCAAAACATAAATAATGCCTACTAGACACACATACACACACTTACACACACTTAGCAATATACATTCTCATCCAAATCCTACATAGACAAACTAGAATTATATAATACATCTACATACATAAAGCAATATTTATGTTTTTTCAGTTAACCTAAGAATCAGTTATTTTATGGAGCTTTGAAAGGCCTCATTATCTCTCCTCAAGAGCAGAATGCTCTAACTTTTGCTGCTTAAGAAGTCAAAAGCATTTGAATCCTGCTTAACCAAAGAAAATCAAACACCAAAATAAAAATACCAGAATTTCATAATTTCTCCATATCTCATTCTCTGATAAAACTTTAATAAAACTGAAACATGTTAGATTTATGTTTCCTATTTGTTCTTTATCATCATAAATATGAATGCAATTTATTATTCAAAGAAGTAAGAGGGTAGAAATTAAAAAAAAAAAACAAGACATTCCATTTCACTGAAGCAGACGTTAAACGTACAAGAGCATTAACACCGGCTCTTATATTCCTTTCCTTATCATTATGTATGCTTTCTTATTCTCACTAAAACCAAATAGCGTTTCTGATATATCTTTTCCTTCCATCTTTCGTCACAATCAAAACAGAATGGTCCATTATTTATCGGAGGCAATGGCAGGGTGTAACGCATACGCTAATTTACTAACAGAGGAACAAGCAGAGTTATAACAGGATTTTGAAAAAAATTGGAGGGGATCCTCCCTCTACATACACATAGAAAAATAAAGCTTCATACTTACTCGTCCAACAAAAATTTATAATCAATAATTCCAGAAATAAATTTTGCTGCAAATCTGGAAAAGCAAATGAAATATTTTTTTTTAATTGTTAGAATTAGTATTGAAAAAGAAAAGTTTTACTGCAACAATCTCGTTTGCTTTGTTAATAATTATCATGAATTCTAAATTATTAATTTTTGACTCATATTTCTTTCATTTTAATTTCAGTTGTTTTTTATTGCAACTGACCAGTACTAGGCTGGCGGCAAGGTTTTGTCCTTTTAGAGTTGAAATGACTAGATATAAGTTCTATGCTAACAGTTTCTTTTATCACACTTCTCGCTTGTGGAACTCTCTTCCTGCTTCTTGCTTTCCAGTCAAGTTCGATCTTCAAAAATTTAAATGTATTCATATTACACCTATTTAGTTAGATTAAACAACTTTCTACATCTTATCACTGTGGGGGATCAATTCTATATTACAATCAATATATAAACTGATCCCTCATTTTGTGGTCACTGTAGTTTCTATACATTTATATCCCAGAGAATGTAAATAATTCTAAAAGACATGCCTGTGTAGCTAATCAGTATTTCTTTAGTTCATTTTCTATGGCTTATCAACCCTTTGCAGGTTATTTAAAGCCAGAAAATATTTTTAGATTGTAAGAATTTTTTTGGAGATGATAATGATTTAGTGATAAATCTTACTTTACTTTCCCAAGAGTATTTGAATATAACGAACCCAACTGGAATTGGAACTCGACTCTCTAGGCATTATCCATTACACTATCCGTACATCCAAGCTTACAGCACCTGGTATTCACAAGTGGTCACCTATCTAGGTACTGACCAGGCTCAACATTGCTTAACCTATCAAGTTCATTGATTTCACAGCATGTCAACCCTTTCTGGGTTGATTACTGCTGAACTTTGTATGGGGACACCCAGTAAGTATCAAACTCACTACTCAGTCATAAAGGTCAACCAGACAATGTTCAGATGAGCACCAGTCACCAGTTTGGAGCTCTACAGCTAGGGCACACAATACATCCACAGAGTTGAATCACCCTCATTTCCTCCATATACCAAAAGTAAGGAAAATATTCCACTCAAACAGCCTACAAGAGCTGCTAGTTTGTGGAAAAGACGCCTGCATAAAAGCTTTCCTAAACATTATAATTTTCATTCACCATTTTATTCAGCGTATTTTGTGCCACAGTCGTCACCACTCCACTCCATCTCACAATGGCTTGCTGGTTCCTTTTTGCACTAGGGATGTTGAGGTTGCCTCGTCCCTCCTCTAAGAGTTGGATTTGTTTTTGAAGTTACTTTCTTCTAGCCTTTGCCTAAAGAGGCAGGAACTAAAAGACATCAGGACTGAATTCAGAGTTATCCTTCTAGACTGGTTGCCAGTCAACGCTATTAGACCCAGTCTGTCCTGTTATTTCCCCATAAGCAAGTGGTTGGAATTCAGAGTTTTCCTTCTCCTAGATTGGTTGCCAGCCAAAGATATAGGATCCAGACTGTGCTACTATTTCCCCATCAGCAGGTGGCTTGAATTCAAAGTTTTCCTTCTCCTAGAATTGTTGCCACCCAAGGAAACAGAACCCAGTCTGCCTTGTTATTTACCCATCAGCTGGTGGTTTGAATTCAGAGTCATCCTTCTGGTTGCCAACCAAAGCATTAGGACCCAGTCTGCCCTGCTATTTTATCCATAGTTGTGTTGAAGGAGATGGATTCATACCTTTCCCAACAGTATTAGCACATAAGTGAGTGTAATGAACTTGACTGGAATTTGAACTTGGCTCTCCAATTCCTCAATCTGAGCCACTAACCATTACTTCATTAACCTCTTCAAATCAATGGTCAATTGTTATCTGTCGTAATAATCTTCACTTTTTTCTTATCACTTGTTTAATTCACATCATACACCTTATTCAGCAAAATCATTATAACAGTAAGCTTCTACATTGAGTGGTTCTTGAGCCTCATATTAACTGAACTTTAGCATTAGAAGAAAAAAAAAAGTCAGCCTCGTTAATCATAAACCATTATTTGGTATTCAATAATATAAACAATGGAAGGAAATCATAACGGATAAGCCATGTAGACAAAAACAGTGTGCCAGAAAGATTTGTCTGAAATTAATTACTTACTTTAGCTGACCCTCAACGCCTTCATAATTCTGTCGGGGTAACAGCACTCCTGGGTTGGAGTTGACAACAACTGAAGATCGAAAATTTAAGTATGCATGATGTTTCCACCAGTCAGAAAGCTACATGGAAAACAAGATCACAATTAAGAAATGTACTTGCTGAAAATTAACATGTCACTAATTTAGTATTAGTAATTACATTTTTATTTTTTAAATTAGTATTTCTTCTCATTTTTAGTTCAAATTTCAGCTTGTTCTTCACATTATATATATATATATATATATATATATATATATATATATATATATATATATATATGCAAAATTTGCAATAAAAGGCAACCAAAGAAGATGAATTGGGGAGTGGTCGGTATTAACTTATTGCAAATTTTCTTTCCTTTGCAATGCTCAGGTCATTATACTAAGAGCATTGTGGGATAACAATATATAAATCTTTATACACCAGGAACAATTTGGGGGGAAAGATTTATGACAAAGTAGAAAAGTTTTTTGTTTGACATGTTTCGTCCTTAGGACTTCATCAGACTAAGATTTTTCCACTTTGTCATACATCTTTCCCCCAAAACTAAGAGCATTAATCAAGCACTATGGATGGCAAATAATGAAGAAGACTGAAATATAAGAGAAATGAAACAAAAGAAAAAAAGTGTCAAAAATTATTAATTGCAAAAAATTCAGACAACTATTATGTCTATTACTACTACAAGGTGGTAAACATGTAAAGAAACAAATAAGATGGAAGCAAAATGACTCAAAAATTAATAATAATAATTTCTTCTAGAAAATTCTTACATTATGTCTAGGTTGATTATAAAACAGAAACCACAAAACTATTGAGGTTTTAATCTTTACAAGAAATAGAAATGTAAATATTTTAGCTTACAAAAAAAAAATGTTGAAGCTTTCTTGGTCGATTCATTTTTTACAGCTTAACTTTTTGCAGGTTATTTAAAGTCAAAAAATATTTATAGATTGTAAGATTTTATTTTTGAGATAATAATTATTTTAGTTATATAAGTCTTACTAATTAACCCATAACTGGGGGAGTAAAGGTAGTTTCATACCTTATCAGAATTTCATAAACAAACAAGTAATTATGTGGGGGGGATTAATTCTATATTGCAATCAATATATAAAATGATCCCTCACTTTGTAGTCATGGTAGTTTATATACATTTATATTCCAGAGATTATAAATAAACCTAAAAAACATGCCTGTGTAGCTAATCAGCATTTCATTGATTGATTGATTCGTTTTCTATGGCTTATCAACAATCAAGAGATTATAATGTGGATATAAAGTGAGGGATCAATTCCATATTACAATCAATATACAAACTGATCCCTCGCTTTGTGGCCACGGCAGTTTCTATACATTTATATTCCAGAGAATGTAAATAAATCTAAAAGACATGACTGCATAGCTAATCAGTATTTGATTGATTGATTGAATTGTTTTCTATGGTTTATCAACCCTTTGCAGGTTATTTAAAACCAGAAGAATTTGGTGGTGGGGGCAATAATAATGGTTTAGTCCAGGGTGGATTCATACCTTTCTCAAGGGTATTTATGTGTAAGTGAATATAACAAAGCCAACTGGAATTAGAACTTGGCTCTCCGATTATCAATTCTGATCCATTATCCATTAGTCCACCCACACATCCAACCTTACAGCAGCTGGTATTCTCAAACGGTCACCCATCTAGGAACTGACCAGGCTCAATGTTGCTTAACGTCAATAATCATACGGGGACCAATGTTTTAATGTAACATGGCCATAATCCTGACATCAATGGATCTTAGCTGTTATGTGATGATCCATCCTCACCTCTGATTTTTTATATTTTTTTGATCTACCACTTCACAATGAATAATTTTTTTTGCTTATCCTTGTCGTCAGACTTTGTTTTCATATATTTGTATATGGGTAACAAAAATGTAAAAAATTTTAACTTGTTTCATCCTCTAAAATAGACTTCATCAGATTAAAGTAATGCTCTTATTGAGCAAATTATATATATATATATATATATATATATATAAATAAAATGTAGAGGAGAGTGAGGGAGGTATAATGTAGGAACATCAGTTATAATTATGCTCTGAGGGAAAACACAGAAGATGTAGCACCACTAAATTTTAAATTTCTGGCATTGGTCATGTCTAGACACACAGCTCTCATTTGCTTTCTCAATTTTTTTGTTTTCTATAAATGTCCAAAAACTGAGACAACAGAAGATTCGTTAAGAAAGACAAAATGTTTTAAGAACCTAAATGCAAATTTACAATGAAAAACTCAGAAATCAGGGCACTTTCTATACATTTTTTTGCCTTAGGAAATTACTTTCTCTTTTAAGTAAAAATGAAGTAATTTCACATTTACACTGCATGTATATAGTTCCACTAATAAGAATATTACTTTAGTCTGATGAAGTCCATTTTAGAGGATGAAATATGTTACATAGAATTTTTCCATTTTGTCATTCAATTACCCAACGTTATTCTGATATATAAAAATTTATATATAACATTCTTCCATACTTGTATATATATTTTACATCTATATAATACGAAAACTCTAAAAATATATATATATATATATATATATATATATATATATATATATAGATATCTGTGTGTGTTTTTCTGAGATACAGCTTAAATAATAGATAATACCCCAACCAATTTAAGAGCATATTGCACCTTGAAACCCTTGCTGAGTGCAGTGCAAAATTTCATTAAAATTAGAAGAGAGGTTATTGAACTGAGGTTGTTTTTCTGTTTTTACAGTATTTTTAATAGGAAATTAAGTATTTGTTTTTGATACACATTTTTATATCAAAAAAACACTTGCATATTATATTACAACAGTTATGTATGTTAAAAAATAATAAACATGCATAATACATTATAGCAACATTTTTTAAATAAATTTAAATATACATACCACAACATATTTATGCAATTCACTACACTAGAACATTTTTTATAAAAAAAAAAAAAACTACTTGAAGAGGCAATATGTGTCACATGACTTTATGGTAAATGAATAGATGCAAGTTGATTTGCTGCCATTACATATTTTGAAATAAATGCAAGAAACAATAAAAAATATACTTATTATTTTGAAAAAGACTATACCTGTTTTAAGCTACTACTACAAATTTTCATGCAATCTGTTAAATATGAAGCCCAGTGGAACAATAAACCTTCTTTTATTGTCTTCAGTATTAATTTTATATCTAAAGTAAATTTTATGGAAGAATTTTCTCTTTTAATGTAAAGAAGAAAAACTAATATCTATTGATATTACAAAATAATTTATTTTCATACTTTAAATCAGGATATCTTACTTATTATTTTGAAAAAGACTACACCTGTTTTAAACTATTACTCCAAATTTTCACACAATCTGTTAACTATGAAGCCCAGTGGAACAATAAACCTTCTTTTACAGTCTTTAAATACAAATTGAAATGTGTAATTATTAATAAAATTGATAATATTTTGTATCATTTTGTATCATGAACTGCTTTTAAAAGAAACCCAATGGGTTTATGGGTGGTCTAGTTTACTTTTAAAATGTTCGTTTTTGGTTTTATTTTTTATTAGGTTGGTGCAAAAATAATGACGTAATAATGTTGTTTTTTAACGTATTTTTTTAACGTCAAAAAAAGACATTATTAAGTCATTATTTTTGCACCAACCTAATAAATCTCTAATAATCTGAACACAGTTCATACATTCCATTTACTGTTAAACAACCCATGCATCCAATTACTTTGGAAAAAAAAACTATAATAAATGCTAGATGAGACAAACACAATGTATTTTTGTCAATTTCCCTTAACACAGATGAAATGCACTTGTGTATGCAATATAAAAAGGTGTGTGTATATATATATATATATATATATATATATATATACAGGGTGCATTAGATGAATTGTCATCAAAATTATGCAAAAATGAAAATAACACTGACATCTTATTTTAACAGATACATTTACCAAAATGACACAAAAATATCTCAAAATACTAAAAAATAAATTTATTCAATAAAATCACCATTGCTGCCAAACCCTGCCTCCAGACAACTTCAGAATCTCCTGCAACTCTTCTGGGCAATCTTCTTGTTTAAGTTGATGAATGCTGCCATAATCCTTGCCATAGGTGCATCTTTGATGCTAGAAGGGTTATTTTTTTACAACTGTGTCCCATACATAATCAAGGGGGATTCAGTCTGGGGAGCAAGGTGGCCAGGTCTAAGGGGTGATGTGGTCACAGAAATGGTCTGACAGCTATAACTGGGTTCTCCTGGGTTCTTCTCTGGGTTCATGTGTGGCATGATGCAGAGTCCTATTGCCAGACATAGGGTTTTCTAGCAGCCACCCTCTTGACTCAGGGCAGCACTACCTTCTCAAGGCACTTGATGTAAGCCTCCATGTTGAGTCTGAGGCCCTCACCAACAAATTCGGGAGTTCTTTGCATATTAGAACAATCAGAGTGAGTTTTCCAATCTGCCATATCTTCATAATCACCATTAGACTCATCCAACTCTTTCTGAATTCTCTGCAGCCAATCACTGAAATGTTTGTATTCCATTGAAATTGCCAAGTAGTACAGTATAGCGTTTCCAAATTTCTGACAGAGTAAATTGCATCATGCTGCTGTTTTTCTCACAGAAGGCCTAACTGACCCTACTATATTGTGCAGCCAGCAAAACAAACAGTACACATGCATGAAATTAAAAAATATAAAATGGCGACAATTTACCCATCGCAACCTGAATGTATATAACATACATTGAACACTTACCCAATTTTCATGCTTTTTGGCTCTTTCTTCCAGTAATTTCTGAAGCAGAGGGCCTTGTTTGGTCTTAAATTTTGAAATAACCTGTAACATAAATATATCTAAATATATAATCAAGAATTGCTAAGGGTGAAACAACATTATAAGTAAAAAAAAAAGTGTCCCCTCACCAATATAGTCACTCTTTAATCATACCTATTATAAAACCCAGGTCTATACATTTATATATTGGATCAGATTTTTCTACATTTTCAACCGATTTCAACAAGACTTCACAGCACTTTGCGCACGTAAAATTACCTTGTGTGTGTGTGTTTTGTGTGTGTGTCATATGTGTGTGTGTGTGTGTGTGTATACATTTTATATATTGGATTTTTCAATGATTTTCACTTTTTTTTTTTTTACAGGTAGTTTTCATTGTCTTGTACACTTTTTTTCTTTATTTTTACAACAAGCTTTAAAATTCCATTTACAAGACAATTGTTTATAATAAAATTCTATTCAATTACCATAACGATTGAAAACAATGTTTTTTGTTTGAGTTTGGGTTTGACAGCACAAAACAAAAAAAACTAATTAAAATTGTCAAAAACAATAATCTTTGTCAATTTTATTTTTGTTTTTGATGTCAAATCTATCACTGTTACATTGAAAACACAATTAAAGTTCTGCCAGGAATGATTGTGGACAATTACAAAAATTTTTGTCATAGGGGACATTAACCTTCATTATTAGAAATATTCATAGAAATATGATTTAATTTTTTTCTTTTCGGTTTACTAAACAGGTTGTTAATTTTTTTTTTTTAACGGAAAATAAAGTTGAAAATAATTCACTAAGATTGTGTAGGACGATGTTGAAGTGAAAGAGAGTTGGATGATGCATGACCCAGTCAATGGTGGATTCAGAAAAGATATTTCCATGTTGACGAATTTTTTCAATGAATTTAAAAAAAAAGAAAAGAGAGTTGGATGAAAACCCAGTCATAAGCGAAGATAAGTGTCAGAAAGATATCTTGGCCTGCGTGTGGCCGAATTTTTTTTTTTTTTTTTTACCAGGTAGTGTTTCTTATTATCTTGCACACCTTTTTTTCTTTTTAGAAACGAAATTTTTTTTTTTTTAATCATTCACAATGCTTTAAAATTCCATTTACAAGAAGATGTTTCAATTCAGATAAATTAAGATTTTCTGACTGCGGGTCTGACAAAAACAAGAGGTGAAAAAAAACATTGTCTCAGATCACAGATGGCGACAATATTCTTTCCTGAAGTCACAACTAATTAGCGGCAGGCTGTGTTGACAAAACAAAAAGCATTTTATTTGAGATTTTGGGTTTGACAATGCTCGATCAATAACAATTGGTCGGAAAACACAAAACAAAAAAACCAATTAACCTGACATACGAGAGACTAAGAGAGATGGTGTGCACCTCCCACCAAAGGCACTGTCAAGTAGGGTGAAAACAATAGCGATAATAAACAAAATAATCTTTTGGAATTTGTCAACCCCGGTTTTTTAATTTTCAGTCTTTTCGGACGACAGAGAGTTGCGGCTGATGCAAGAGATCCTTCTTACTTGAAGAAATACTATCTCTTAAGAGAAGAATCAACTCTTGATGGGAAATTAGCTGATGTACCTGCTACACAAGTTATTGCTATAAGGTTGTGTGATTCTGCCCAGGAATGAGAACAATTTTGTAACGGACAACCATTTTTTATCAAAACATTTCGTGAGTTTATTTTCTCTTTAGTGAATTATCCCTTGGTCTCCTAAGATTTGATAAATTGCTTTTAGTGACCAGGTAGCATTATTTACATAAAAGTTGTGGATCCGACCCTGGGCCATTCTCATTACAAAAAATGTGGTCAGGGTAAGCAACTAAGACATTGAATGTATTGTTTATAAAATATCCTCTTTATGTTTAAATAATCCTTTTAGATTCCTTGAGGTTTCTCCTATGTATTTTTTGAGACGATAATTACTGGCAATTGAGCAAATTCCTCCTTCAAGTTTTAGCTTATTGTTTTGTTTAATATTGATTACCATATTTTCCGGCTTAGATGACAAGACTTTTTTCCTAAAAAATACCCTGAAAAATATGTGTGTGTCTTCCAAGATGAATGTAACGCAATGCCCAGGCTCAAGTAAGCTTGGATGGGCACTTAATTGGCTTGACTGATAGGGATGTTGATTTGTATGTTGTCATTACACTATAATGTTAGCTATCTATTTCAGCCTTTTATATAATGAAACCTCAGTACTTAGCTGTTACAAGTATTTCTATGACTATAAACCTTCCTGGAGCTGAGCCACAAGCTTAAATATGTTCTCTTTAGTAGCAGCAGTGGGAGCCTTTCTGCTCTTGACTAGTATGTCATAACCATACAAACAAAATTGGATGAATGATTAATGTAAACAGTACGTGTCGCCAGTGTATGAGGGATGCATGATGAATGTATGAGAATGACTTTTTTTTTTTTTAGAAATTTCTTTCCAATATTAGGGTGTGTCTTCCAAGCCGCAATGTCTTGTAAGCCAGAAAATACGGTAAGCCTTTTATTGTTTAAAATTTAGTAGTAACTACATTTATGATGAGTTTAGATAAGTTCTTTTAAAGGGTAGTTATGATAGATTTAGTTGGTAGGACAATATATTTTTTGGTTCATTGGGTTTGTCAGGAGGGGATGTTTTTCTATTTTGGAATATTTTATGAGCCTTTTGTTTTGTAGTGAATATAAAATAATTAGGGTACTGAAGAAGCTTGAAAGTGTTTTCCATGTATTTCTTCTCTTTATGTAAATACTGGGGGCTGCAAATTCTGAGTGCTCTTAAGTAGAATCAGATATTTATACCAGATAATGTATCACATGAAAACTTTTTTCCACTTTGTCATACATTCTTCCTCCAATATTCTTTATATATATATATATACACTGTTGTATGGATATGAGTTTGTGACCCTGTGTTTCACGCTTTTACGATCATCAGGCAAACTGGTTTATTTTTCAAAGTTGGATCTATTTATATGTTTGTTTGACTATATTTGGTGGTGGGAAGGGGAATGACACTCATGCACACAGACATACTTACATACAGGTGTACGCATTTTAGTTCACACAAATGCACCCATATAAACAATCCGGGGCTAGGTGCAGATACACATCCATGTGTTTGGGCATACTTATATACATACACAATTATAATTTCATTTTGTTGCCAGGGCCATGATTGCATGTGTAGCGATGTTTCTTTCAACTTGGAGCGGGTAGGGGCAGACTTGACGTTTTTCAGATTCACTGCCAGCATCAGCAGAGAAACCTACGCTCCCTCACACACACATGGGTAGACATGCACATACATTTTGGTCAAGTTGGGTTCTGTTTGTGGACATGGTGATGATATTTGCATTTTCAATGCTGACTGCCTATACATTTATTGACGATTTTGATTATACCGTATTAATTATTATTAATATGTTAATTATAGTTATTGACGTGCTAATGGTAAATTTAGTGTTAATGATAATGGAAGCGAACATATAGAAAAAAAGGGGGGGGGCAATAATTACAAACTTAATTATGATAATAGTCATGGTGACCATGATAATGATGATGAATCATATTGATAATGACAATAATAAAAACAATGTTAAAAAGTTGAGATGTTTATGGAGTGATAGCAATATTGATAGTGGGAATAATAGTAGTAGTTATATAAAGTTGTGACAACAATATTAATAACAAAGGTGGTAGTAGTTGTTACAAAATAATAATAATAATAATTTGGAGTGTTAATAATTTTATCCCCTCTGATGGCTGCACCAACTGTCATGGTGGTGGCGGTGTCCGCCAGGGTGATCATGGTGTAGGTAATGGTGGTGATGGTTTTATCGGTCTTTGTTAATTGTCATAATGGTGGTTTGTCGGTGTAGTTATAGTTTTGATGATGGTGCAGGTGGTGATAATGGCAGGAGTAGGAGGCTAGGTTATGGTGGTTTTAGTGTTCTTGTGTTTTAATGTTTTACCATTTTTTTTTCTGTAGTTTCATTCCTGTCTGTTCGGCTTTGTAGCAGGTATTATCTGCTTGGTATAAACTGTGATAATAGGTATTTATTTTTGTGTCTGCATTTTGAAATTATTTCCAATCTTTGGTTTAGTAATTCCTTTTGTTAAGTGTGGGAAATTATCGCCACATTTTCGTGTAGACATCTCTTTGATATATGACAATAAATAAACCTATATATATATATATATATATATATATATATATATATATATATATATATATATATATGTGGGATTATTGTCTTAAATAAACCTGATGTAAACATCTTAATACTAAAAAAAGGGGTGAAATACCTTAAGAATCTTTTGGCCAATCTTTCAAAATATTGTTGGTGAAATAATTACTTATTTTTTAACATGAGCAACAAATTATTTCCTTTTTTTCACATTATTTACATTATTTGGACTGTTGTACTCATCTTTATTGCCATAAATTATTACAATACCTCATCTTGGAAATACAGACAACATTTATTTCCTGTTAAAAAAATACTTTACTGTTGTTTCATCTATTACTAACAGCATGGCCTGGCATTGCCCATGCTTGATTCAAAAATCGTACGACTCATACAGCAATTGCTATCACTTGACTTAAAATATTTTTGCCCTTCCTTGCCTTTAAAGGAGTGCCCTTTACCATGCTGATGTTGCTACATGCCTTACTCCTTGCCTATCTCACACTGCAAATTTTTTCTAAGCTCTATACTAAACATCAAATCTGTTACGAAAAAAGAACTAAACAAAATGAACACAAAACGATCAGCTTTAAAAAAGGACGCATAACAGGAAAAAAACGAATGAAAAAAAATGTTAACAAATACTTTTTCACACCCAATCCAGTTCTGTGGAATCAGAATCAACGTTGAGTTTAAGCAAGCGAATGAGCTAATTGGAGTAAAGTGACATGCAGATTTAAATTTTTCCCACTTGTGACAAATGCAGCTATCGATTTTTTTTGCATGCTAGCATGCTAGTTAACATTTGTGTCAGTCAGCTGTTGGCTCTCACACTGGCCAATAGAATCTTCCTGCCTATTCGTGGCAGCCAGCTATAGGCTCTAACTCTGGCCAGTATAAAATGGCTGCAAACTACATGAAAACTGCCGTAGAAGCATGAAAAAATCGATTATTTCCACTATCGATGGTAGTTGGGAAATGCAAAGTCAGTCTTGGCCTTCCCGCTAACTTGGAGCATGTGCATGTAAATTTTGGTGCAAATCCGTCAAAAATTGCGGCCATGCATTCGTCACACACACACACACACACACACACACATCCTGCCTTTTATAGATAGAGATTCCATTCTACCATACACGTTTTTTACAACAAATCAGTCTTGCATGTCAAACAAATGACAGGGGCATAAATACCAAAGGATCAAAAATTCACATCACAACTAATGATGCACAACTACTTCTTGACCCACAAAGAGCTAAAAAAAAAAAAAAAAAATCCTGTGGTCCAAAGTAACGTTCTTTTATTGGAGTAAGAAAGGTTGTGAATGGTTGAGACTGGTAAGGAAGTGCAAATAATTACCATATTTCAAGGCCTGCTGAAGTCGAAACAATCTGAATTCTGATTATCTTTTTCAACATTTCACCCCAGAGAACATAAACCCTTTTTTAAGATAAAAGTTTATTTTCTCCTTTGTCACCACACAAGTGTTACTGATAAAAATCAAAATTTACTGTTACTTTCCTGCAGACATAAAATCAGTAAAAAGGAGGAAAATGAAGGAGGGAATTACAGAGAGACAGTGAAGGGATAGAGGACAGCATAAAAGATGTAGAATGAGACAGACAATAAGATGGAAACTTGTTATTAGGTTGGTGTAAAAATAATGACGTAATAATGTCGTTTTTTGACATATTTTTAACGTCAAAAAATGACATTATTACGTCATTATTTTTGCACCAACCTAATACATCTCCATTGAGACCAAAGTTGAGAGAAATTCAGTTGAGCCTAAACTTTACACTGCTGATCTTGAACTACAAGTATATTGGGTTTAAATGCAGTCAGTGCAAAATTATATTTGATGTATTTTTTTTTTTTTTTTTTTTAAGCATTTCACCCCAAGCCAGTAAGATGCAAGGGGTTACAGAAAATATAGAGCGAGATCAGATAGGAGTGATAGAAGAGGGTATGAGGAGAAGGGTAGTGGATAGATCAAGGCAACTGGAGATGTCGATTGACATTACACTTGAATAGCTGGAGATTATAGCTCTCAGGAAAACTGGAATAGGGAAGGGAGTTCCACAGGCGAGAAGTGCGAGACATGAAGCTATTAGAGTAGAAGAGATGGCTACATTTAGGAGTTTCGACAGTGAAGGGGTGAGAGCGGTATGCCAGCCTTGTAGGGCGCTTGAACTCATGAAGTCTGGGAATCAGCGAATGCAGCTCCTTGGAGCAATTACCATGAAAGTATTTGTAGAACAGACAGAGAGAGGCGACAGCGTGTCTGTGAGAAAGTGACTGTAGACGAGATGCCAGAGCAGGGCCAATTATATTGCATATCCGCCTCTGGAGCCTATCAAGAACCCCGAGGCAAACAGAAGGGGCACCAGACCATATATGGCAGCAATACTCCATGCAAGGGCAAGTTGTTGATTTGTAGATCTGGAGGATTGATTCCGGGGAGAAAAATTTCCTGGCACGGCACAGGGAGCCAACTTTCCTTGCGGTGGACAAGGCAATTTAACTATTAAAATGAAAGTGTTATTAGAGGAATCCCACCAATAATACCATGATTTACATACACAGGTAGTAGTAAAAACAAAAAAAAAATAAAATAAAAATGTAGCAAATAAAATGCACCTTGCTTGTGTGCTCAAGTTCTTCTTCATCAAGCAAAGGCTGGACAGACTGATGGTATTTGTGCAACGTTTGCTCCAACGGAGGTACTGGCAAGTGAGGCAATGAATCTTGTACAGTAAACTTCTGAGACGACAAAAGCCGACAATATGTAGAAAAATTCTTGTCCATTTTAACAGCAAAGATTTGTTTTACTGCCCGAATCTAGAGAGAATAAAAAGAAATTCCATTTGTAAAATAATTTCATGATTGCATAAAAGGTTAAATGGTATGTGGCAAAATGGTTAGAATCAAAATTTTAGACTTTTTCACCATCAACTGTCTCGAAAAAAACTTTAAAATCATCCTGAAATCAAAATGTTTTAAATTTGGTATAACTTAGTTTTTAGTAGTATAATAAAAATACCATTGAATTGCTTAAGAAATAAATTAAAAAAGTTAACATATAGTGGTAAGACAACCCGATTACCTCCCCTGTCTTGTGATTTGAATAAATAAGTCATGCCATCTTAGCCATAATGGCAAGACTCTTTAGTTACTTCAATAAAGTCACATTAAGCCAAACTAGACTCAGAGTTTTCATACAATTAGTTTTAAGAATGAATGAATGCAAAAACATAGTAAAATTTCACTGTAATTTTGATAAAAATCAGACTTATTTTTATTTACAGATTGCAACTATTAGGAAGATGTAATTAAATATACTTTAATATTTAAAAAAACATATTCAGTATTATTATTGTTTAAGTAATAAGCATTGTAAAATAGTACAAATAGCTCTATTGTGAAAAAAGAAATTTTCAACAATATACACATTTTTATATATTTTTGGTTATTTTTTTTAACTTTTATCAAAAATGACATTCTTGTACATGTAGTTATGAATAATATTATACATTAATTACATTTTTTTTTAATTAATAACTATTTGTGCTCAGTTTTTGACATTAATAACTATCTGCTGATGTGATAAAATTTTGGAATAATAGAATAATAAAAATTTAAATTTCATCTCTCTGATAGATGTCTGATCTGTTAATGAAACAGTAAAAGTTCAGATTTTGTCTATATTTCTGAGATGAGGTATTATGTCTGTATTTAATGAAACGACAAAGATGAGGACAATAGTCCGACTAATGTAAAAAGTTCAGATGTTTGATAAATTTATTGAACATCAGACACAGACAAGCATTTTGGCATAAAACTCTGGAGTTAGTGAAATAAGTCCAGTGAGCTTGAACTTTTCATGATTTATTGAATATTATAGCTCTAGTTATCTTTGGAGGACTTTTTACCAGATGTTCTGTGATCTGAAAAATATGTCAAATTCTCAGGATAATAATTTTACCAATGTCCATTACTGTGCTATCCTCTGGAGGAAACTTTTTTTCTTTTTATTTACAGATTATGACAACTATTAGGGAAATGTGATTAAATATACTTTAATGTTTAAAAAAAAATTATTCAGTATTATTATTGTTTAGGTAATAAGCATTATAACATAGCACAAATTATTGCGGAAAAAGGAATTTTCAACAATATACACATTTTTTATATATACTTAATACAAAACAAAATAATAAGTTAAAATTTGAAGGAGGAATTTACTGTCACTTGTAATGATTGCCACTAGGAGTACATAGGAGAAACCTCAACGAATTAAAATAAAAGATTATATGAACACAAAAGGGATCTTTTACAAAACAATACACTCACTGCATTAGTTACTCAGCTTAATGAGTCCGATTTTGATTTAAAAATGCTACTATAATTAAGAGAGAAAGGAATTTACTAAGACAAAAGTGTATAGAAAGTGCTTTAATTGCTATATCATCCACAGTAAATTTGCGTCCAGGTTCTTACATTTCATCTTTCATCAAAGATCTTCCATTATCACAATGTGGGATACTTACAGATCATGACAGCTATTAGGGAGATGTGATTAAATATACTTTAATATTTTTAAAAAATTATTCAGTATTATTATTGTTTAGGTAAAAAGCATTATAACAGCATAAATAGCTAAATTGTGGAAAAAGGAATTTTCAACAATATATGCATTTTTAATGTATTTATGGTTACTTTTTAACTTTTGTTAAAAATGACATTCTTGTACATCTAGTTATGGATAATATTATACATTAATTACTAATTTTTTTAATTAATAACTTTTTGTGGTCATTAATAGCTATCTGCTGATGTGTTAAAATTTTGATAATAATGCAATAATAAAAATTTAAATTTCATCTCTCGGATAGATGTTAAAAATGATCTCTTTTGATCTGTAAAAAATTTTGATTAAATCACCTTGAATAATTTTGTACAGAAATGTTCTTATTAAGGTCCATACCCCCGAGTAATTTTTATCAAACTTTAAGAATTGTGCTCTAGGCATTCATTTTCTAAAGAATATTAATGCATTCAAACTATTCCTAATAAAAAGTTTTTGAGGTCTTTATCAAAGAAAATCAAAATGGTGGATTTTTTCCCCTATTATTTTAACTATCTTCACTCCTCGACAGTATTTTTTTGTTTTAAAAAGTGATGATTAGAATTATAATAAAGCCTAAACATATGATGAAAATAAATTTGTACATTTTTTTGTTTTTCATAATTTAAAACAAAAATATTAAACACTATTTATTTATTAGATTGTTTATTTACAAGAATAATTTTATATTTACAACATTCTAGAAACTAATGCAATACAATATCATTTACCAATTTAAATATGAAAACAATTTTTTATTCATAAATTTATAAACTTTTACTAAATTTTTAAAATACATAAACCAACAATAAAAAAAATCCTTATTTATCATTTTATAAAGTTTGAATCAATTGGCAATTAGCCATTGTTTTGCCAACCATTCCAATAAGCAATCTAATAAATAAATAGTTTTTATTATTTTTGTTGTCAATTCTCAAGAACAAAGAAAATGTATAAATTCACTTTTATATGTTTAGGTTTTAAAATTCTAATGACCACTTTCTAAAACTTTCATTCACAATTATTTCCCTTGAATCATGACTAAATTTTCTGTTTGCATATGATTTTCTTAAAAAAATTCTTGTATTTTCAATTTAGTTTATAATAAGCAGAAAACAACACATTTTATGTTAATGAATTAGTTGCTTTTAGAATAAATATAAAAGAATTTGAGTTAAAAATTTTGTATCATTCTGTAATCACAAAAAAATTAAAATGATCCCAAACTAATATTTTATTGTCGCCAGAACATTAATCTTGAACCCTTGTTAAGACATTAGACCAGGAGACACAGGTTCAAATCTCACTATGGTCAACTTATCGATGGGGAGGGGGTGTATTGTGACTTGATAATATTGGAGTGGGGAGACAATCCTGGTGTGTGGCACCATTGGAAAGTGCCTAAAAAGCCATACGACAAGTTGACCCATGTCTTGAGGGAAATTTGATAGGCAAAACTATTTGGAAGTCATCAATGAATGTGTTAACATATCACCACATGTCATCATGACCAAGGGATTGAGTGTACTAGCCTTGTTCAGTTACTTATCAAACCATCTTATGCACATCTCCCAGGAACTGTAACTAAGGTCTGCTCTGCATTGATGACAACAGGTTGGCTCTGTGGGCCTTGAACAAATACAAGTGTGACTGAGTAGGCATCTTCAACAGGGATTAGTTAACACATAGCAATGTTAATGCATTCAGCAGTATAGAAAGTCTTTTAGGTGAAACTAGAATGCAGAATAATATCCAAACAAAAGGTTATTTATTTTATTTTAATGTTCAACCAATACAAGACCCAAGTGCCACTCACTTACTTACTGTGTGGTATTGTATGAGCATAAGAAAAGACAAAAAGTGCAGTTGATGACGTTATGTAGGAAAGATAACGGTTAATCCTAGATTTGAAGAGATCAAGATTGTAGTGATTGGGGGTCTGTTCCACAAAGCAGTTGTTCTTGGGAAGAAGTTCTCCAAATGGAACTTACTTCTTACTATAGGAATATGAAAGGAAAAGATAGCAGCTAACCCTAGACTTGCAGATGCCAAGAATTTGTTCCACAAAGCAAGAGTTCTTGGGCAGAAGCTGTCCGAATGGTACTTACTTCTTACTATAGGAATACGAAAGGAAAAGATAACGGTTAATCCCAGACTTGAAATGGTCAAGATTGTAGTGATTGGGAAAACATCCTGCCAGGAGACTGTTCCACAAAGCCATTCTTAGGAAGAATCTGTCCAAATGGAACTTATTTTTTACTATAGGAATACAAAAGGAAAAGATAACGGTTAACCCTAGACTTCAAAAGGTCAAGATTGTAGTGATTGGGAAAACATCCTGCCGGGAGTCTGTTCCACAAAGCAGCAGATCTTGGGCAGAAGCTGTCTGAATGGAACTTACTTCTTACTATAGGAATACAAAAGGAAAAGATAACAGTTAACCCTAGACTTGAAATGGTCAAGATTGTAGTGATTGGGAAAACATCCTGCCAGGAGACTGTTCCACAAAGCAGCCGTTCATAGGAAGAATCTGCCCAAATGGAACTTACTTTTTACTATAGGAATATGAAGGGAACTAAGTCAATGACAAAATGGAAAAACTATTCAGCTATGGGTTAGAGTAGGTGTCCTCGGTCTGGAATGAGAGACAAACACATGTATAGGAAAAAGGTAATAAAGATCATGTGGAAGCCACAAACATCTGCTGGATTTGAAATTTAGCCCACTCCAAGTAGATCACATTTTTCTTCTGTTAGTTTGTATATCACACTGTGCTACTAATATTTTTGTAATGATATTTGTAGATAACCTTGGTCTAAGATTGTAGAGAACTGTGAAACATTAGTAACTTCAGTATGAAAATCAACAACTATCTGGTTTTATTAACTCTTCCCCATATTCCAATACCTGTTTACCACTCATAGGTTTGTCTCTCATTCCAACCTGAGAGGGGCTGAGAAGCAACTACTGTAAAGATTGAAACACTGAGCTTTTAGAATTACTTTGTCAAGAATTTACAGACTTGGAAAGGTCTACCATTTGGATGGTTCTTGATTGCCAAAAATTGCTCAGTATGGTGAACCACACCAAGACAGCCAAAGACTCCACCATAGAAACTGCATCAAGACGGACTGGAAAGCGACACAGATCAATGTAAACAACCAAGAACAGCTGGCTGCACACAGACCCCCACTCGGCATGGTACTGAATGCTT